TGTGTGTGATTGCCATGAGGTATTGTTAGTAAGAAGTTTTCTGGTTATTTGTCTTGCTGTGTCAAGAGGAATGGAAGTGAATAAGGAAACGACGTCAAAGGAAATCATGATTTCATCAGGTTCAACTCTGAGATCTTTCATTTTCGACAGAAAGGCTTTGGCATTATTGACAGAATGAGGAGATGACTTAATCAGAGGTTTGAGAATGTCAGCGAGATACTTCGATAGGTTGTACGTAGGTTGTACGTTGCCTTTCTGATGAAGGCTCGAAGTACCGAGTCGAAAGCTCAACACATTTAAACTAGAATCCACTGAACAGATTTGAAATTGCTCTTAATTTCGCAAAACAGCTATTAGTATCCAGTTTTTTATGTATATAGCTTCTTTGGGTACTATAATGTAGAATAATAAAAAAATTCTCGAACTCAAATTTAGTGAACCAGGGGTGTGTGTCTTTTCCAACAAACTAAAAATGGCTTGCGCACGAAATTTAAAAGCTTTAATCATATTTTAAGTTAATAGATGGAAAATTTGTTGGGTTTTTAATTACTGTAAAAAATTTCAGACAATTAGCTTTAGTTTAAGCCTTTTAACTATTCACGCAAACTTACATTTTTTCTTAGCTATTTGCTATGTTTTCTTAGCTAATCAGCTATTTGCATGCTAATTTATTAATGCCTTTGCCTAATTTGCATATGTCAGCAATATGCAAATTAGGTAAAGGCACATGCGAAAGGCTAATTTTTTAGAGAAAAATGAATAGTTAAAGGCTTAAACTAAAGGAAATTGTCTGAAATTTTGTACAGTAATTAAAAAACCAACAAATTTTCCATTTATCAACTCAAACTATGATTAAAGCTTTTAAATTTCGTGCGCAAACCATTTTTATTTTGTTGGAAAAGACACATCCCCCTGGTTTACAAAATTTGAGTTCGAGAAATTTTTTTATTATTCTACATTACAAGTACCACCCAAAGAAACTATATATATAAAAAACTGGATACTAACAGATGTTTTGCGAAATTGAGAGCAATTTCAAATCTGTTCAGTTTTTTTTTATACACCCTGTATAGACGCAATCGTACCACAATATTGGACCTAACATGACGTACCAAACTCGCGCACGAGAGAAGACCGGAAGTTGACAATTTCTGTCAATCTGTGGAATTCTGTGCTCGAATTATTGACAAACACGTACTGTTTGTTTTTGATTAACTTTACAGTTTGCTTCTGATCTTTGTGTCATTTTTGTATTAAATCTATAAATTTTGTGAGGTTTATTCATGGCTACAGATAATAACAACGATGGGCCTCCTCCAATTGAACCTGTACAAAAGACAATTTTAAAGAATGAAACTCCAGCATTTGTGTCCACGGCCGCCAGTAATGGTAGGGAAATTCGTTTTTTCATACACAAAAGGCTATCAGCTTATGTTGTTGATATCTTTTGAATCACGGCAATAGTTTGGTGTTGCTGTCCAATTGTACTACAGTTTCATTGATATAGGAAATATTACTGATTATTAGAATTGACGTCATCATAATCGTGACTGTCAAACGTAGTTTCTAAACCATTATAGGGCCTGTTCATATGGGCAAAAGTTATCCCGGTTAGGGCCTGTTCATATGGGCAAAAGTTATCCCGGTTAACGAGAGAACTTTTCGACTAGCAAATACTTTTGTTCTGTTCATATGGAGAAATATTATCCCACTTACCGGGAAAAGTTTCCGGCTGTGACATAGCACTGAACATCAATTGAATTGAAAAGTTGCTGACACAACAAAAAGTTATCCCGCTAAGCGGGAAAGTTGTGTTCATATGGGGAAAACATTATCCCGGTCACCGAGATCTCGGCTGTCAACAAGCGAGATCTCGGTACACGGGAAAACCTTTCGTCTCATATGAACGCAATGTAACTTTTCATATTATTTTCGTAACAAGGCGAGATCTCGCTCGTAAACTTGTCGAAAAGTTTTCTCGCTAACCGGGATAACTTCTGCCCATATGAACAGGCCCTTAGATAGAAAAAGTTTCGACTAGCCAAATACTTTCGTTCTGTTCATCTGGAGAAACGTTATCCCGCTTACCGGGTAAAGTTTCCGGCTGTGACATAACACTGAACATCAATTGAATTGAAAAGTTGCTGGCACAACAGAAAGTTATCCCGCTAAGTGGGAAAGTTGTGTTCACCGAGACCTCGACTGTCAACAAGTGAGATCTCAGTAAACAGGAAAACATTTTGTCTCAATTATAAAAACAGTGTAACTTTTCATATTATTTTCATAACAAGGCAAGATCTGGCTTGTAAACTTGTTGAAATGTTTTTTCTCGCTAACCGAGATAACTTTTGTCCATATGAACAGGCCCTTAGTGAAATTCAGATTTTACTTCTGCCATTTACTGCTACCATTAAGGGTCCATTAGCTAATCAGATGCATTTAATATATCCGATTAACCAATGAGATGCATTAAGAGAACTAGGCAATTTGTTTGTTGATTGTCATTGATGTATGAGTCAATTTGACATTGACCCAAGTTGAGCTCAGTATAGGTTGGAGTTTGATGCAGATTTAATATTTCAATAATTTCACCCGGCTGACTGTTTGAACCGCAGTTGCAAATGTAGACCAGCTCAAAAACAATAAAATTTGGCTCTTTGGTATTTTTCTGGCTGACAATTTAAACAATGTGCATGTTGGCTCTGTTTTTAGCCCACACTGCATGTCATTTAATTAATCCATTTCTTTTGTATATTAATTAAGTTGAATGTATTGCAGGTTGATTTAAGTTGTACATAATGTACAAGACATGGGGTGAATAAATGCCCATGATTGTTGTTTAACCCATTGGGTGGCAGCACTCTCCCCCAGTAAAATAATAAAGTAGTGTGCATTAGTGCTGTGCAAACTCCGGTTTTTCATCTCCGGCTCCGGCCGAATTACAGCTCTGAGCTCCGGCTCCGGCCACATTATAAAATATTAAATAAATGTTTTACGATCCGGCAGAGAACATTTATTAATATTATTATAAATAACCCTTTTCGCACTTCCTAATTATCAGATAACATAACTCAGGAAACAAAACAGTGAAAACACGCAGAAAATATCTATATGGAAACCAGCCTCGAAAAATCTTTGACACGAGGCATGACGCTAACACTCTCAGACTCCACAGCGCAATTGTTCGCACGCAAACAAAGTACTCTGTCATTTTCAAAAGGTTGATATTTATTTGTTTTGTACCGGAGCTCCGGCAGAACTCCGGCTCCGGCAACTCCGGCGCACAGCACTAGTGTGCATCTGGGCCGCATTGCCACTTAAAGGGTTAACAGGGTGCATGGACAGATATGTGATTAACCCATTGAGTGGCAATGCTCTCCCCCTGACCAGTAAAATAGTCTGGCATTCGACAAAGTAAAATAATAAGTAGGGCGCATCTGGATGCATATTTGCCATTTAAAGGGTTAATTAACCCATTGAGTGCCAATGCTCTTGCCTTGATGTGTAACATCATCTGGCATTAGATAGAGTAAAATAATAAAGTAGGGTGCAATTGATGCAATTTAATAGTAATTTATTTAATACCAGTACTTATAAATATAAATGGTACTAGATTAAAGGGCCAAATGCTCTATAATCATGTTGCCACCATAATGTATGTTGAATTAATGTTATTAACCCCTTTGACATTATCTAGCAATAATATCCTATAGTTAACCCATGCACAGCTGCAACAAGTGAAATAATTGTACCTGCCATTTGAAACATCTATGCTACGTCATTGCTTGCAATATTTTTATTTCTGCAGACATACAGTATATGCTTGACCAAGAGACAGATTAGCACCAGTTCCTTATAAAATCTGAATGCAGATTGGGTAAATGCTATCCTGTGCACTTGGATGTGAAAAAGGGATAGGGATACTATAGAGGGTTAAGAATGAATTAAATTAATTTAATATTAGACAAATAGACAATGCTCAATGACAAAATATTGAAATGTAACATGGATTAACTTTGCAGTTCTGCTGTTCTTGGAGAAATATGGTTGGTTTGTGCTATTTGGCATTGTCGCTGCTATTTTTATTTGGAGTAAATTGAAACCTTACTGGAGGAAGTGGAAAGAAAAGCGAGATAAGAGAATTGAAGAAGAAAACATAGGTAAAGCGTAAAAGTGATGAACAGCAGTTGTAAAGACAATACTCAAGCATGAAAAATAACACTCAATAATGAAAGCATTTTAGGCTTCGATCAGGAATAATATCCGGGCCCATGCAGTGCCTTTTTAACTGGGAAAGAATTCCCCCTCCCCAGTCTTAAAGCCATTTTTGCCCCCGAAGTGCGAAGCAGAATTGCTCATGATTGCTGTCAGAATTGCAGTTGATTTACTTAATAATGAGATTATATGCCCTTCCATAGCCTTCTCCACAGCCATCTTGTGTGTAATTCATCTTGTTCTTCACCGAGTATTTCATAATAGCGATAGATTTCATGCAAACAATCTGATAAAGTGCTAGCCTTTCCAAGCCTTGCGACTATTTCCTAGCACTATCCCCCGCCGAGGCGTTGTGTTTTGTTTTGGGAGGTTTTATTGCAAAATTTTTTCTTAAAAATATCAAGTTATATTAAGAGCCCCCCCCCCCCAATCGCCACAAAAACCATTCTC